AAAATTATGGAGGACAAGCTTTCGCCCGCGACTTCGTCTGCGTGGTCATAACAAAAGCAAAAGTGAGTAGACTATGTGTTCTTCCAGACTATACTTTGCATCCATGGCAAATTTCATCGAGATTCGTTTAGCGGTTTAGGCTACAAACTCTAACAAACATCCATCCATCTAAACTTTCGCATTTATGATACTAGTATAAGGTAAGAAACATTGGAAAGATAAATTGGATTAACAAGAGCATTGTCGTTACCCGTATTCAATCAATTGCTAAATGTCAAATTATGAAACTTTCTGCTGATCCAATTTTGTTTCTGTGAAAAATTAAATATCGAAGGTCATGTGATTCAATTCAAACGTATTATGAATTTTGTTCAGCTATTTGAATCAATAAGTGGCGTATATTTTACTCCCTAGTGAAAAATTCATGCAATTATTAATCCAACGTTGAATTTAATAAATCTTAATTCGCATTCACCACGTGCCAGGGAATTAATTATCGAATGAAAATATATGATATTCCATTAATTAGGACAACGAACTTATCGGCGTTTTATTGATGAGTTCATTTTATTTATCCACGATAATAAACTGTAGAAAATAAAATAAAATGGCATCGTTTTGCCCATCACCTTTGTTTCTTTACCAATTTGCAAACGCCAAATAAAATAATAAAAAACATATTTTCGTTCCTTGTTACACATTCTGTACAAATAAATCTTTTCAAGAAATAACAAACGAATTCTTGAGCGTTGGTTAGTTAAAACGTAAATTAATTTAGACAAGTTTAAATCTGAGATTTGAATCTGTACGTCGGCGTCGGAGATTTCAATGTCTTAGGAACAATTATCTCAGTCGAGGGACGACAGCGACAGCGGCACAAGAATAGACCGAGACACGCTGATCGTGGAAACAAAACAAATTCAAATATTTATTGAATTTAGACAGCGAAGAGAGTCTTTGTGTTATTAACTAAATGTTTATCCATTGATATCTAATATTATAAATGCGAGAGTTTGGATGGAGGGATGTTTGTTAGAGTAAACTAATCGGAATAATCCTAAACTAATCGGATCTCTGTATTTGGCATAGTTGTAACGGCTAGTCTGGAAGAACATATAGGCTACTTGCTTATGTTTTTTTAATTCAGCGCGGACGGAGTCGGCGAAAGATAGTATTTTGATGAAAGAAATGCAGTTTATTCCAAGCTTTTACTGTTATTTAACCATATGTTAATTATACCGATATTATTGCATCGAATTGTAAGCGTTAATTACATCCATGATTTTCTTTAGCCAAACATGCAAATTTTGCACCACGTAATTAATGAATTATTATTGACTACCCCAAAACTACTGATATGGCAATAATTGTTATTTTGTCTACTTTGCGAAATTGAGCTTGAACATATTTACGTCGCGGATGCCTATTTAGGCAAAAGTTCACGGCGGTACAACCGTGTTTTAATTTCTTTGTTGATTTACAATTTTTTATATTCCTTTCCTATGAAGCTGTATGAAATAGCATTTACGTGATTTCTTAGAGAAAAACTATAGAAGTAAGTATGTGATGTAATAAGGTTTGAAAATGCTTCGAAAATAGTATTGTTCGACCATACTCGCCACAGCAATGGCATTGCCGCGTCTTTAGATTCCGATCTAACTGGTTTATTACTGTCTTGTAAAGGCATCTATTATATTAGAACCATCGGTTTGTATGTCATTTGTTTATTTGCTATAGCGATGTGACGTCATACCTTTATAGCAGCGATGGCGGCTTGCTTGGAGACGAATGTGACGAACGCGCAACCTTTGCTTTGGCCTTGCGCGTCTCGTAGTACGGTGCACTCCTCGATTGCGCCGTGCCCCGCGAATAGTGCTCTCACGTCATTCTCCGACAACTTCTTATTTAACATTCCTACGAAGAGCTTGCGTTCTGTGGACAAAGAGATTACGTTGTTAATTTATTGATAATTTTGGAATTAATAATGAATTTGTCGATTCAATCGGGGTAATACTGCGACATACATCGAGCATAAAGACTAGCGTTTTCCTTTATTATTACGATATGGGTAATAATTTCCTTGTTTTCTCAAATTATAAGGTAACATAACGTAATTTATTTCTTTATGTATTCACATTCGCATTACACAAATCGAAGGCAGACGTCTGTAGTGGGAATCTCCCCCCCTAAGGCTGACGCGTTCGTTGTACTTAACACGTCTTAGCGCGTGATCCTGAGAAATGGAGACATTGCGACAGGGATCAGACGCGCTAAGTGTGAATTTACGACCTCTCTCAATGTACTGCGAATCGCGTATACTATAAAATATTGACGATTTGTACCACATATGTTACACAAATGGATTATACTAATACTAGCTGTTCTCGTGCGACTTCATCCGCATGAAATTAAGAAATTTTTATTTCATTGTTTACATGTGTCAAATTATCAATTGCAAATGTGAAAATGACATGACATGACGACAAAACATGGCAACCTTGCTTTCTTGATGTTGGCAGCAACTTATGGTCTCTTTCCCACATTAGGGTTTTTATCCAAAATATTTACACCCTAAGCTTAATGGCGTGTAAATATATAGCCTAAAGCGTGACGTAAGTGTAGGACTTTTTATGAAAAGAAGAATTATTCAAAAATATGCTGTAATTGCTGACATCTTAGGGAACAAAGAAGTGTGTGTTTACGCTTTATTATAATAGTATAGATAGATAAGTGTTGTTTTAACTTTTTAAATCTACTTTAATAAAAATCAGTTATAATTGGTGGTTAAATTTACGAGATGTTCAAGCAAAAGACAATAGACAATGTTTTCATTGAGATTTTATGCTTTCAATCAAAATGAACAAAGGGTGAGCCTTCCGTATTCAACAATGCGCCGTAAGAATTTGTAAGTATTCGACATAAAACAGTTTAATTCCGATTAACGTAATGACTAAACATTTGTACAGAGCAAAGGAATAAAACAAATGAATACAAGCGCCCATTGAGACGGCCGCTCTAGCAATAAAGACCACGGCAACTACTAATTACAATATTTAAAGTGTATCCTCACTTAAACACGGAGCGTAATCAGTTTAAATGCACAAGTAATTGTGTATTTAGCGCAAACAGCGCTTTAAAATGTTAATACCTGCGCCATTGGGCCGGTAAAGCTTCGTTAAACAATTTACATAGCCCTCTGACTGAGCAATAGTGGGAGGAAGAGGGGCCGGTTTCTTTATAACAGTAGGGAGAACCCTGTCAGGGTAGACGCAACAATTTATTTATAATTATATCCTGTCAGCGTGACGTTTCGCGCATTCGCAAACGTCACCGGCTCGTTGACAGATGATGAATGACATTTAGTAATGTCGAGTGGATGAAATGTCAAGTAGACGGCGTTGTATTTGAAGAGAGAAATATTATGCTTGGTTTTAGCCGGAAAATTATAAAAGCCGAATATTCAGATTGTGATATTAAAATACAAGGTTTTATCAAAAGGTTAGTGCGCACAACTTTGACTAAACTATCGCACAACTGTTTATAGTTTGTCTAAATAATTTAGATTAGTTTGATAAATGACGTATATGAAGTATCGAATTTAATTTGTATGAAAGCTAATGCCATACTTAATAGACTAGTATCGTATTGACGAAACAAACACGCATAGCGAACAATTTTGAACTATCGATATTCGGTTTAAATAATTATCGAACTCAACTAAAATTATTATTTTCTTATTAACTAATTTATAGGACATTTCTAGTATTCATTACAGTGTAGAGAATTTATCGATGACAGAAATAATAGCGAAATCCAATTCGATTACGTACGGCTGTAGAAGTAATAAACATTTATTTACTTTCATTATTTGTTATGGTCATTATTTATTTGAGAAAACAGTGTTTTTTTTTTAATTCTTAAGTTATAACTATAAATCTATCGATTCCAACTTCTATAAGAATAAAAATCGAAAATCGATAAGATTCATGACTGATTTTACACAACCCATCCCTACTAAATTTAAAGTGAATTGTCAAACTAATCTAAATTATTTAGACACACTATAGTCGTGTGTTGATTCCTGAGTTTCTATAGAGGTGCGCATACTACTCGATTTTTAGTTGTGCAACTAAACAGTTGAATGGGCTGCTAAACAATCGACAATCGCACAGTTGTGCGATAGTTTAGTCAGAGGTGTGCCCCCGCTCGGAAACGTCGATAGTTTTATTACATTAGCCTGGGAACATACGATTTGACATAACGAAAGCTAGACTGTTATTGAATAGGTCTGGTATACGGCGTCGTTGGACCGAACTATGGAGTGCGTTTTCTTGTACGTAAAAGGCGACAGGTCGTTACAGCCAAGTTATGTGATGCGTGTCGTATAGTCTGTGGAACGGTGGCCAGCTTTCAAGATGGCTTTTAGAGTTTTTAGTCTGTATTTTGCTTACACAAAGACCTTTGAGGTAAACTTTAGTTTTTTTATACATGTAAATACTTGTATGTTTCTTTTTCTTTCTATTCAGGTAAATAGTTTTATTGATATATTGTTTCAGAAGGATTGAAAAACATAATAATATGTTTTCGTACGGGTTTTCCACCAGAGTTTATTAATAACTGTACAGACAAAACATTATAACTATTGACTTAAAAAAATAGCATGTTTTTGACTCAAAATATAATGTAATTACCCTGTTTATCTTTCAGAATAATCCACTAGTTTTGATAGTGGAAAATAGTTGATTATTGAAAATTTATAAAGGTAAACAACCACAAACAAACAAAAGCTAAGGAATAACAGATTTGGAAAATGCAATTAAAACTAGTAAATTAAATTAATACGTCTACGAGACAATAATAAATTAGAGTATCTTTAAAGAGTTGAGACAAACAAAGTCACATTGTCCTGAGTGCTGGGGACTGGGGACAACGATCTGAAGGGCGTTGAGGATGACCCCGGCTTGTCAGGCTATCCCAGAGGCGCGAAGGCGGTTTGATTTTAGATATTCGCACTTCAAGCGAACATAAGTTCGGCAATTTTTATTACGAAAACAAAAAATGTCTATATCTTTTTTAAATTTTTATTCTACTGTCACTTTTTATTTCATTTTTTTCTGGCTGTACCAACTTTTTGTTATGCATAATTTTAAAATTACTATATCAGTGAATTCTTACAAATTCGGCAATCAGCACTTAATGTATCTCAAACGACTTGACAACTACATAACAAGTGAGCAATCACTAACTTTCGACGTACAGTCGTGCTCGTGCAATCTAATGTGACCAACTCAAACAACGACATTACGACGCGAGTCAATATTGAAGTTGTGTACAGTTAAGTAATCAAGTGTTTTGTTACAGAGTTTGTGTTTCTTTACGATGTTGTAATCTTCTTAAACCACACTTTTAGAGGAACATTATTCCAGTGACATTTGTAAAGAATAACGGACTTTAGATGGTAGCTTTTACCAATGAAAAATCATCATCTACGAAAAAGATAGTTATGGGAAGTAAAAGCAAAAAACTGTTTTAATAAGCTTTCCTTGTTACTCAATATTTAGTTTAATTAGTAATCCATTAAAATAATTGATATCACTGTTTAAAAACAAATGAGGAAAGGAAAAATTACAAAAAGTAACTATAGTAATAACAAAACATAAATCGTGAACATTTTTCCAAAAGTTCTGGTTTCTGTTTTTAAAACTTTTTAATTTAGTATTGTAACAAATATTCACTAGAGACCAGTAGTTTTTACGTACAAAACTAGATGGCGCCACCTGTATTTTAAAACACGATGTGGTATTGCATGCGCCTTATGTTATGTCATTTCATGTACATACGCAAATCAGAAGATCAGAAGGTCAGAAGATAACAAATATTGTTAAAATCACTGTCTTCTCAAGTTAGTTCCTACGACGCGATTCTGAGTATATTAGCTTGCTGTCTTGTGACTAATTTTACTCAGAAATTGCACTAGTAGTGTAGTTGGATTAGGTCGCTTGCGGTTAGTGACGGCCTAATTCAGCAGGTAACCGCTTGCTGTTCTGTGACGGTTACCCGGTATTTGAACATTTTTT